TCTCTGGAAACTATGGGTGAAATTTAGTCACGCCACCAATATCGTCCTATATTATTTATATCTATATAAACTTTAGCACAAACTTAAGAACAAACGACGTGTTTGCTATAAAAAGGAACGACGAAAATTCTAAACAAACTACACATACTTTTCCTAATTTCCCTCACCGTTCACACCAGCGAAAGTAATTCAGATTCCCGTGATGAATGAAACGCCATTTATGACGCGCCTTCACCTTTCCATCGACCATCGAATACAACGGAAGCTCGTTATCCCTCGAATCTTGAACAACTTGTACCGAAACAACGTTTCGATAATACACCGATGAAGCGGTAGAAAAATTCCATTAACTCGCCTCACTCGAGTTTCCGTAATATCGAACGCACCCCGCCCCATGACCTAGACCCAAATACAAATGTGCGAATGCGTCATAGAATGCAATCTCGCCGACCTTGCACCGGCCAGAGCTTATCCTTTCCCTTGGAGAGAGCTCGCATTTCATCCCTCTTGCTCCACGATTTGTCTTCTACCCTGCATAATCCGAAAAACCCCTGCCACCCTTATTCTCTCTGTGATCCCTCCATTTAGACGTCGGCTCGTGTACTCTACGCCACGCTACGTAGCGTAAAACGTGAACTCCAAACGTCGGATATATGCTCCGTCTATGAGAGTAATAAAAAGGAACCCCGGCTTTACACCACGCTTCGGGGTTTTAGGAGTCACAGGTGTTTCCGTGTTTCACCTGTTGACCGCCGCACCTCGTCCAAGTGTACTTTGACAGAGGTACAGGCTTTCTTAGGTACAGCGAAATCGTGCATCGTGTTAATTAACCCTCTAATTAATTCATCCTTTGCACTTCTTTGGACTCGACGCCAGTTTTTACCAGAAAATAAGTGACTACTTGAATTACTTAAATTCAAAATATAAATTACGACAATGTTTGGAGCTACATTTAACCCTTTGCACTCGACGACTTTTTGGCTAAAGAAGGGTACGAGTTGAAAAATTTTCTTCCATAATAATCTGATGATATTTTTTGAGCAGTAAATAAGAAATCGTAAGATAATTAACACGTAGAATTTATTTAATTTCGATACCTTGCACACTGTGACATTGTTTTAAATTTGATATATTAATTAATATCGAGCTTCGAAATTTTATCAAACGGTGACTGAAGGGTGTAAATTGACTCTCGAGTGCAAAGGGTTAATATGACGGATAAACAAAATTTTTGAAAATAAGTATCGTCCTGTGAAATAAATTTGAATTTTAAATTTAAAATAGTAGATAATTATTTCCAACAAAATTGAAGAATAACTGTGTGAGGTGATACTTCCCTGGACTATAAAGTTACTAGAAAAGTTACTAGAAAATTATTTCCACCTAGTAGGAGCATCTATTATTTTCTATAAATAAAGAAGCAAGATCTTTCCGTGCGGAACTAACGTTTCGACTAGGATCTATTATCTCCCTCCATTTTTGCATAATGCAATAAATTCCCCTAGACCACATTCCCTCTATGCCGCATGTTCTCCATGTACCACGTCTACCCATACATCTCTCTCCCTCTCCTCTGCCCCTCTAGCCACTATTATCTCCTTTCATTTTCTTTCCTTTCTTCCAGGATTCACGTTCCCATTGTATCCCCTTTTCTCTCCGTTTGTCCATCCGCCATCCCGTTCCGCGTATTCAAGAATCAACCTATCGCCCTCTCTCTCCCACTCCCGACCGCCCGCGATGCTCCGTCTTTGTCTATCGTGCACGCGGGCGAGCTGGACTCCCGGGAATTCATCGATCGACTCCATCCACCCACTAGACACAGATATGGTGGGGTAAGAGCGATACCGGAGAACCCAGTACCACAATTTCGAGGGACAGATCCGTCGAGCACGTGGCAAACGCTTCCTGGTTTCATTTAAACTTGCTTTCGATTCACTCCAGCCAGGATACGCGAATATCATTCGACGAACCCTTGTCTCCTCGATACCAACCCTTTGCTACGTTTGCTTCGTTTCCTGGTAATTGATCGATTGTACTTGCTCAGGGCTATATATACAGCGTGTTCCATTAGGGATGAGAAAAATTTATCGACTCCCCTTCAACGTCAATTTGCTAAATTTGAAAAGTGTTATGTAAACGTGTCCTTGAAATTTGATAGGCAACGCGATGAAGGATGTTCCGGGAGAAAAGGAGGTTATTAGGAAAATTAGGAAAATTGAAGATGTTTCGTGACTTAAAAAAGAAATTAAGAAAAATTTAAATAATTCATCTTAGATAACAAAAATGAAGAAAATTAAAAGGGATTGCGTTTCGTGAAAATTGGACAAATTTAAGGTTATGTTCTATGTTTGAGAAGGGAAAAAATTAGAAAAATGAAAGATTTTAATAAAATTGGATAATTATGTTATAACATTTTAATTATAACACAAGCCCCAAGAAAGACAAGCCAAAAGAAAATTGGAAAAATTTAAGGTTATGTTCTGTGTTTGAGAAAAGAAAAAGAAATTTAAAAAATTAAGGATTTTAATAAAATTGGATAATTATGTTATAACATTTTAATTATAAGACAAGCCCCAAATATTTTGGAGACCCTATGACCTGATTACTGACCTGGGCTAATTTTATTTTGACTTCGAGCCAATGTCGAATTTTCCACGATTTTTCTTGTTTTTCTTCTGTCGTTGCATTTCTATGTGTAACATGGTTGACAGCTTCTTTGAGTACCGATCGATGATATCAATTTCCTTCCCAGATGCACACGGTGCGTCATCGGTCGAGTCGAATAGCAGCACAGGATAACGTCAGCACTTTTTAGTATTGTGAGACTTCTGAATTTTTCCTGGTAACTTTGGACATTATTTTCCTCTAGGAGATACAGGGCCAATTATCCGGACAATTTTCTGTTCACCGTAATGAACCAGCTTGTAACACGTACGGTTGCAGTTTCTCGTGGAATTTCGTTTCTAGTTCGACTGTATTGCACTGTTACACGGTACAGGCAATTTTTGTTCCGGTGTTTGCAGAGTTTTTAACTGGTTTTTGGTTTCTTTCTCCTTCTTTCTCCTTTCTCTGTGTACTTTACACTTTCTTGGCAGGCAGAAGGTAATTGAAAGGAATCTTTCTTATTTTTCATCTTTTCCTCCCTTTGTTACGGTATCCTCTTTCTTTATTGCCTTGGAAAAATTGTGGCGTGGAGAAGTAAACAGAGTGGGTAATTTAGCGAACTTTGGACGTAAATGGGATTGAAAATTAACGTGTTGTGTGCGTTTAATTAGCACGGTATTGATCACTGTGTATGTCGCTTTGAATAGGCGAGACTGTTGTTTTCCTGAATTTAGTCATTATTTTATTCTCCATTTGGTTTGATTTCATTTGATACTATCTTCGGAGATGTAATAGCGAATAACTTGTGGTATTATAGAATTAATGAAATATTATAAAATTAATGTGGTATTATAGAATTGCTAATATACTCTTCTCGATTCTACTCGTCACGTATATTCAAATCCCGTTGAAATTAAAATCGATATTAACGCGATAATATTCAACATTGTCAAAATCTTTCCGAACCTGCCTAATTTTCTCCCTTTTTAACAGGATTATTATTTCACACGTGTTAGCTTTAATTAATTTTTCCCCGACATTTCTAGCGTCACGAAACACATTAATATGCGATTTATAATACCTGTGGTATTATATAATTTTAGTTTGGAATTAATATGATGAAATAATTAATAATTTCTGGCTATTTTAGTTAAGAATTAATACGATGAAATGAACACTAAGATATAACTCGTAGGGCGAGCTAGCATAAGTATAATTGGAAACCTAATAAACTATGAATAGCAAATTTCGAAATATATTTTTGTCCATTTTGTCCGAAAGTTAAGAATGTTGAAGATATTTGTTATATTACCGAAAATAAAAATATCTTTCGCTTAAAAATAATAATATAAAATAAAAATATCTTTTGCTTGGTATTATTAAAAATATACACACGATAATAACTAATACAAAAATAAAAATACCTTTTGTTTTGTATTATTAAAAATTATTTCATCACCAAAAAATAAAAATATAAATTTTTGAAATATTTTATTTGCTATTATACGCGATGAATAAACGAATTCCATTGAAATTGTACGATTTTATAATTCACGTCGACTCCCCCTTTACCCCTTATTTACACACTGGCGCTTATTTATAAATATGTTACTTGCTCCATCGATTTACCAGCTTTCCCCTCTTTCTCTAGGAGAGCTTTCGCGAAAGCATTCTATCACCTGAGTATACTCGATTGCGAGAGCAATAAAACAAGATGGAATAAGATAAGACTAATGTACACTGAGGAAGACTTAGTAGTAAAAAGTAGAAAATGAAGTTTGCGATTTATTTCGACACCAGCACGTAGAACCTTTGCAATTTTTCAACATTTGAAAAAGAAGTTAAGTGAAATTGCAAAACGGCATGTGAAAGAAAATTACCTATATACAATTTCCTTTTTACATTATTAGTATGTAATTATATCCCTATTGCATTACTTTTATTATGATTTTTAAACATTGTGACATCGTTTGAAAAAATTATTTTATTATCTATGAGAGACTATTAGCTATTCATGATAAGCCTTCTGGAATCCTCTGTGCTTAAAATGTGATATGTACAAAAATTTGTAAATTATATTATTTACCTCTACATATGTATAATTGTATTACAAAATACTAGAATTAGGTTGTAGTACATTTCGTTTTTTAAATTAAAAGTTAAGCGGAATACTCAATAATTAGCTTCTAATTTTGATAAATTTATCCAAGGAATATTTTATTATTATACTGCTCATTCGTTATTCTTTTTAATTCTTATCAAAATATTTTATTCGATGGAAATGAAAGAGTCATATTATTTATACAGAACGTCGACTGCAGCACTCCAAGCTCGAGTTCCAGAAGACCAATCAAAGCTCAAAGTAAAATGTAAATAATTGAAGGAACAGAACTCACCGAGATCAGAGAGCGAAACTTTCTCCAAGAAGGGATCTACAACCGGCAGCTGAAAATTAAGAATACAAATGAATATCGATTCGCTACAAATGTCATATATTAAATTTTACCAACAGTTATACCATTCCTCTTACTTTAAACGGAATATACAACATACTTCAGTGAAAATCTTTCATTGTCCTTTACTCCAATACAGAAAAAAAGAAACATGAAAGAAAATTTGCTACTATGAATAACTATTGTACTCTATTGTACTTCATTAATTTAATTAAACAAAGCAAGCAATAAACTCACTGATACAAGTAGTTGCATCACTCTTACTTTAAATGGAATATAGAACATATTTCAGTGAAAATCTTTCATTTTCTTTTACTCCAATACAAAAAGAAAGAAACATGAAAGAAAATTTGCTTCTATGATTAAATTTTGTACTCTATTGTACTCTATTGTATTAATTTAATTAAACAAAGCAGGCAATAAGCTCATTGATGCAAATAGTTGCAATTATCTAGAATATACAGGAAAAAATACACGTGCCATAAAACGTGGGTGTAACTTTGATATCAATATTCCTTCCGCCAACGTATAATAAAACAAATCCGTGGGAACAACTGCATTGTCTATTTTCTGCATTACGTCAGCAGCTCGGCGCCTTTCACTATAAATACCATTAAAAATTTTCCCAGTCTACTAGCTTTATTTGAAACATTTATTTGTCAAGCGAAACGCCCACGCTGGTTGTTTCACTTCGAAGTAATACACCCACACTTCATGAAACTTCCTGTACATAATAAATCTATCTGAAAATTTACAACAAGGCTACACAGGACCCTGAACTGGTCCTTGAATCACGCTACAAATATCTCTTTCGCTTTTGCTTCAAATTAATCGCGTTTGAAGAAGAACTCGAATAATCGTGGAACATAGAGAAAATGGTAAAAATGGTAACAATGGTAACAATAAGTACCAACGCCTTCTTCAACAAAGATTTCGGACTAAATGGTTGCCTCTTCTTCACATTTGTCGTGATTTTCGTGTACCAGTTCGACAAGATGCCAGACGAGCTGGTGCTGTGAGCTATGCTGGGAGTCTTGGTGACACTTCCGGTCGGTTCGCTGGTTTGCCGACGAAACACCATTTTTACACGAATATTTCACTCGAGTCTCACGGAAAGGCAAGTCATATACGATATTTCATCGAATAACTGGGTTGTCAGAAAATCAGTCCAAATTTGTCATGTTGTAATTTTACAGCGACAATCGAAGAACTCAATAGTCCTGCGAGTATTTGTCCCTGGCTAACAATAAGCTCGTTCCTTAAAGAAGATTGCCTTGATCACAATTGATTTTTATAAATTTGCTTGGTTTTATACAAGATTTTCTTGCGCAGGAACCTTCACCAGTTTTGTCTGTTAACTTTCACGGTTCTTTGAGCATGTCTTCGAGAATAGCATTCCTCAGGAGCATCGAGGACAGTCTTCGATCGAATCTTCTACGTCCAAGTAGCAAGCTCGCGTCACATCGTGATTGTTCTTCGACCAGTTCTTTACGTTGTGATCGGAAAATAGTTGAACATCGAGATCAAGAGGCAACATATAAAACACATTTTAACGATTTCCTTCCTCGACTACGCAGTCTACACTTTTATGATAGATCGACTTGATTTCTCGACTTGATTTAAGATTAAGATCCACACACTTGGTGAAATGTCTGCAATTGCTATTTAATTGTCTGGTAGCACAGGAAAGTCGACGAGTCCTTGCATGATCAATAATCCTCTCAAGTCTTTATAGGAATGACGTAGTCAGTGCTAAAACGAAAATATCTGTGACCATCGTGCAATTGCATTTCTCTTAAAAGTATAATTAATGTAATTTCTTTGAACCGTGAATTTTGATCAAACAGGGAATACGCTTTTAAATACAGTAGTTAGCAGAAGTGAGATATCTGCTGGACGAATAAAAACATTTTTACTAAATCGTTTAAATTAAGTAGTTGCAAGATAAGATCAGAGTGCCAGGAATTCGAGTACAATTTTTCTCTAATTAAATATTCTACGACAACATTTTCGCTCAGATTTAACTTTCAGATAACGAGGAGTTCCATTAGCATACAGAGTTGTAGAAGCGAAAATTATTTCAAACTTTCGAGTGCCTAAGTTACACAGCGAACATTTGAACGACATAAAAATTGTCTTGTTAGAAGTGACTTACTTCTTGCGCCATAAATTAATTCGTATTAATTATAACATGCATCACAATTATGAATAAATTATGTTATTTAGATAAAGTGAAGATAATCCTGATAAACCGCGATGCTACAATACATGGGGCTGTATCTACACACTCACTTCTTCGTAAACGTAGGATTAAATAAAATATTGCTGGATAATTATACATATGTGTAACTGTGATCCATCGAACGATCAACAAGATAACAAATGGAAATATCGTAAGAAGATTTCGATGACACGACTTTCTTGAATACACTGTGTGTCCTCGAGAACGACTGATTCGAGTACCACAGATGCCACATTGGCATTGAACACCGATGACTGCTGGCTCTGAATACGAATGAGTCGAACACAACGATACACCGGGAGAAATGATTCCCTCTGTGATATGATCCATCCTCGATACCAACTGAACCATAAAGACCTTTTTGAAACCTTTAAAGAAGTAGTTCTGCCAAAGTCGTTTTAAGTTATGGATTTATTGAACTTCAGGTTCCTTTAATTTCAACACAATCTCAGTCTGGTGGAAAATTCGATTAAGAATAGATGAACAGGTTCTTGGAGTTGCTATAAGAATAATATCAATGGAATTTGATTGGATTCCTAAAATTAAATTAAAATATTTATTAATTTCTTTAATTTCTAAATGAAGATATTTTCTAAGCTAATAACCCTTCAGCATGGATAGTTTAATATGTATAATTGTTTATAATTATAAAAAATTATACGTATCACTTTATGCACCTCTCACAGTAGTTTATAATAATTTTCATTTTACTGGTATTCATGGGAAATGATTACATAGTTTTCAATGCAAATACTGTGAAATAAAGAATGTTTATAATAAATTACTATGGGAAAGAAACACGACAGAGATTATTTTGCGATACTGTGACACGCAATGAATATAAATATTATGGACATTACTTGTCAATAGTGTGCAGCATGGCAGACTTGCTTAATTAAAGATTGTTACTCCTCTTATCGTTGATAGGACGCTATATGGCGTATTCAAATGATTTGCAAACCCGCTTATCATTCCAGTACGTAATATAGAGTTGTCGAGCTTCGTATTTACAATCCTCTACACTGAAATCTTTTTCCTTATTGATTAAAGGTACCATTTATTAACACACGAGAAAAAAAATAAATAAACGGAGATTTTCCCTTCGAGAACAACTCTAATAAAATAGGAAATATTTTCTGCTCACTTGAAGTGTTAATATTAAAATTAAAAAATAAAGAGATAAGGACATGAAATTCCAAAATCACATAATATTATAAAGAATTAAAACCCCTATTAAAAGGAAAAGAAAACAAGAAAATTATCGTTCACCTACATTTTTCAAGACCTACCAACGTGAATAACTTTTAATTTGAAATTATCTTTCCTCATACTAAACAATTCAGAAATGACAATTAACTTGAAATATGTATATAAAAATGGATTTTCCAAAGAAATTCGCAACTGTTCCCTGTGTTCTGCCCTCGAAAGAATTCATTGCGACAACAACGTGCAAGAAGACCACTTAACACTTTTGTTACGAGCAAAACGAAACGTTCGGTAAACTGTACGAGACATTCTTCTAGGCGACCACACAGCTTCTTCCGCGGTTCTAGCGAATCGTAAGAAGTTTACAGAGATCGGTTTGCCAAGTGTCTGCCGGCATCATTGTCGAGAGTTTGTGAAAACCGTCGGCGACTTTCTAATTTTCACGTCGGTTCTTTAGTTTTCGCGAAGCGTTATCGTTTAACGAGCTTACCATGACTCGAGTGGCGAATAAAAAGTGGAGTTTCTTGGCAAAATTCTATAAATACTACAAAGTCTCACAGAAGTAAATGTAACATTAGATATGTGAAAAATTCTAGCTGATTGAGAGTAAAAATCAGGACACTAGAAATATTTTTTATATTCAGAAAATTACTAAATAACTTTTTAAGCCTATTAATAATAAACGATAAAAGAAGTTTTGTCTGAACGATAATTTAGATCAAAATTTGCCAGAGTTGTAAGAAAATCGTTATCAGAAGTTTTATCAACTCCTTCGCGATTGCCTTATATTTTTGAACTACATCCTTATCGAGATTTCTCATGCCAAACTTTATTCTAGAGTTATATCATTATCAAACTGTCCCTTAAAACCGCACCTTTATGTACCCAGAATATATTACTTTAATATAGGTGGAGATTAATTGTTGAGATAAGAAATTAATTGCTTGTTCCGCGTATACAGCAATATCAAACCTTGAATACCAAAGTATAATAGTATACCTGCATATACTGCTTGAAATAAAAATTTCTTTATAGCAGTAAGTGTTTAAAGAAAAAGAAATTAAATAAATCCAACTTAAAATAAATATATTTATATGCACATCTGCAATGATTTTAGAATATTAATGACTATAACCATAAAAAGTAAATATATTATATTCAATAGAATAAGATACGACTTCTGGTATAAGAAATCTAAGTTCCTTTCTCAAATTCTGAAGACATAAATTGTTCTTAAGTATAGAACTATAATTCAGTTTCTACTACCTAAGGTAATTTTCAACAATTCCGTTTCCTAATCTCCATCAAGAAACTATAGGATTAAATCTGCCTACGCCATTATACCTATGCCCCAATGCACAGTGCAAGATCTGGATTTATCATGCACATAACTCTTCAATACGTGCTAATGCACTTTTCCAATACACCACATAGTATTGCAAATAAATCTCAACCAAGTTCAAAAAGAAAAGAAGAAATGGATTACAAATAAGAAGAACCTTTCTCCTACGAAATCCCATTAATTACCAACAAAAATAGAGAAA